ACAAATATGGGTCTCTTCCAATCAGTTGATTAGGCAGTTATCTTCCAACTTTCCTGACATAGATGAGTTGAGTGGCTCCAGTGCTGCACCAGTTTGTTGAAATATTTCAATTTTTATTCCGTCAACTCCTGGAGCCTTGGTTTTCACTAATGCCTTCAGTGGAGCTTAGATTTCTAATTATTTATCATCAAAAATTAGATTACCTGGTAATTTATTAAATTTGTATTTTCAATGAGAGGTTTTCTGGTCTCTTTTTATGACATTGCTATTTATGGGAGAAAAGTGAATAGGCAGCATATGCAATACTAAATATGATGGATTTATAGAGGCTGGCATTAACTCACATAACAGTTGACCTATTGTAAGAATTTAATGAAAGAAGAAAGGAAGAATTTTCTGGAAAATATAATAAATCTTATAATCTACTAGAAGATTACACTTAACTCAAAATAAGATTACTTTGCTGCATATTTATAAAATATGAAATAAATCAGGGAAACATTTATTTAGTAATTGGAATGATCCAGAAAAACAGAAAGCCACTAATGGACAAAACCAAGAGCATTGAATCTGGCTTGAAACTCTTTGTTAAAATATTTGCTTCAAACACCTAAGCAGAATAATGTAATGGTTGACCAGAGCCTCTGTGTCTTGATTTGAAATTACTTCAAGTTTCAGTTGCCACTGACGAATTATTTACCTTAATCTGTATTATCCTGAACCAAAATCTTTTCTAAAGCAGAACAAAAGGAAAGTCTGTGGAAAGAATAATCCTCTGGAAGAAAACAACAAGGTATTAGAGGGGCAGACATTGTTACAGATAGTAATCACAATGGAGATGTTGAAATAGTCTAGGATAAACCAATACATGCTCATAATGCTCATGGTGTATTTATTTAAAAAAAAAAAAAAAAAGATTTTATCCCGTGCTCTTGTGTCTCTATTGCTGTTGTATTGTTCTTTCATGAGCTCTTAGTTATCTGTAGAATTGTCCATAGACTGTTTCTCCTTTTTGGTTATTGATATATCATTACTGTTGTTGTTCAGTTGTTTAGCATCCATTTCACCTTCTTTGGATGTCTCTACTCTCATTGTTGATAGCTAGTGAGGTACTTAGTCAAGTTGCATTGTTTTTCCCTAGGCAACAGGCAGATAGAGTAACTCTAGCCAGCTAGCCAACTGGACATTCTCACCCCGCAATCTGAATCAAGCATAAGAAAAAACTGAAAATATTTAGAGATTTCTTATCCCAGCTGTGCCTCCAGGAGCATGGGGAAGCAGTTATGCATGTTGATTTGGAGTACTTTGGGTTATTATTATTTATTTTTTTTCTCCATGTTTGGTTCTTTAATCTTATCATGGGTGCTATAAGTTTTTACAAAGTCTTCCAATATATATACATTAGCCAATGTCTGTAATGTTGCAAGCTACTGTTCAAAACCCTATGATACTATCTCCACCTGGATGTATGTAGACATTCAGAGATATTCTTTCTTACTATATTTGTATCTTCCTTGAGCTTAGTGGTGGTGGTGGTGGTGGTGGTGTTTATGTGCTGTGGAGTCGGTTTCAACTCACAGCGACCCTGTACAGGGTTTCTGAGGCTGTAAATCTTTACAGGAACAGAAAGCCTCATCTTTCTCCTGCGGAATAGGTGGTAGTTTCGAACTACTGACCTTAAGGCTTGCAGCCCAATTCAGAACGACTATATTACCAGAGCTCCTTCCCTTGAAGCTTATCACCTAATAATTAGTGTCTTCTAGAAGTCTTTCTTTACCCTCTCTTCTGATCCTTCATAGCTCTTCTGTGTTAGCTCACTGCCCTGACATTATTGTATCTATTGTACATACTTGACAACTCTCTGTCTCTGTCCACATTCTGAGATATCTAACTTTTCCCCATCTGCATCCCCTAAATGCTGAAATAGTTGTCATAGTCATTAACAGTATTTTTATTTTCCAGATTTTTGCCATGTTATATTTAACTTGGAGTCCTGGTGTGGCACTGTAGGATAATGCATTAGACCACAAGGTCACTTTGAACTGAAAAGCTGGTAGTTCAAACCCACCAGCCACTCCTCAGAAACCCTATACAGGACTGCTATGACTCAGAACCAACAGGACAGCACTTAACAGCAACAGCACATTTAGCTTATCAATTACACCAATTTTTTCACTTTAATGTGTCCACTATTAAACAAAAATAAGAGTCTAATAAGTTCCTTTGAATGCCTCAAAGGAAGATGGAAGGAATACCCAGAGTTACTGGACCAAAAATAAATGGCCAATATCCAACCACTTTAAGAAGCAGCATATGATCAAGAATTGATGATACAGAAGGAAGAAGTGCAAACTGCACTGAAGGCACTGGTGAACAACCAGACTCCAGGAACTAAATATATATATCACAATCTTTCAAAGAAATGGATGAAGAGCTGGAGGCACTCATTCATCTATGCCAAAAAAACATGGATAGCTACTGGTCAACCAATTGGAAGATATCCATGTTAGGTACCTATTCCAAAGGGAG